GGGACAGAGCACCTGGGGGAAAAAAAGGCGTTTATGAGTTCTGCTGCAGCAGACTTAAACGTACCTGCCCAGCAGCTCTGAAAGAACAATGAAGCTCACAGCTCAGCACTTGAGCTCCTATACAGGACACACTGTCTCCTCAAGCAGCTCCCTGACTCCCGTATATCCAAAGAGTCATCTCATAAAGGAGAGCTCAGACTGACCAACCTGGCAGGTATCCTTCTGGGACAAAGATAGCAGAAGAAACTGGCAGCAACCCTTACTGTTCTGCAGCTGCTGCAGGGCCTGGGGTGAACCTCAGCAGTCCTGCAGCAGAGGGGCCTGACTGTTAGAAGGAAAACTAAGAAGCAGAAAGAAATAACTTTATCATCAACAAACAGAATGTCCACTCAGAGACCCAATCTGAGTCAACAACTACAAAGACAACAGGTGGTAAAAACCACAAAGATGGGAAGAAACCAGCGCAAAAAGGATGAAAACACCCGAAACCAGAACACCTCTCCTCCTACAAGGGATCACAACTCCTCACCAGCAAGGGAACAAGGCTGGATAGAGAATGAGTGTGATGAATTGACAGAAACAGGCTTCAGAAGGTGGGTAATAAGAAACTTCAATATAGTATTGGAAGTTCTAGCCAGAGCAATCAGCCAAGAAAAAGAAATAAAGGGTATTCAAATAGGAAAGGAGGAAGTCAAATTGTCTCTATTTGCAGATGACATGATTGTATATCTAGAAGACCCCGTTGTCTCAGCCCAAAATCTCTTGAAACTGATAAGCAACTTCAGCAAAGTCTCAGGATACAAAATCAATGTGCAAAAATCACAAGCATTCTTATACACCAATAACAGACTTAAAGAGAGCCAAATCAAGAACGAACTGCCATTCACAATTGCTAGATAGAGAATAAAATACCTAGGAATACAACTAACAAGGAACATAAAGGACCTCTTCAAGTAGAACTACAGATCACTGCTCAATGAAATAAGAGAGGACACAAATAGATGGAGGCATATTCCATGCTCACGGTTAGGAAGAATGAGTATTGTGAAAATGGCCATACTGCCCAAAGTAATTTACAGATTCAACGCTATCCCCATCAGGCTACCAATGACCTTCTTCACAGAACTGGAAAGAAACACCTTAAACTTCACATGGAACCAAGAGAGAGCCCGCATAGCCAAGTCAATTCTAAGCAAAAAGAACAAAGCGGGAGAAATCACACGACTGGACTTCAAACTATACTACAAGGCTACAGTAATCAAAACAGCATGGTACTGGTACCAAAACAGAGATATAAACCAATGGAACAGAACAGAGGCCTCGGAGGCAACACCACACATCTACAACCATCTGATCTTTGACAAACCTGACAAAAACAAGCAATGGGGAAAGGATTCCTTGTTTAATAAATGGTGTTGGAAAAACTGGCTAGCCATGTGCAGAAAGCAGAAACGGGACCTCACACTAAAATTAACTCCAGATGGATTAAAGACTTAAATATAAGACCTAACACCACAAAAACCCTAGGAGAAAATCTAGGCAAAACCATTCAGGACATAGGCATATGCAAAGACTTGATGACCAAAACACCAAAAGCATTGGCAACAAAAGCCAAAATAGACAAATGGGACCTAATCAAACTCCACAGCTTCTGCACAGCAAAAGAAACAGTCATTAGAGTGAATCGGCAACCAACAGAATGGGAAAAAAAATTTTGCCAGCTACCTATCTGACAAACGGCTGATAGCCAGAATCTGCAAAGAACTAAAAAAGATTTACAAGGGAAAAAAAAAGCCCATTCAAAAGTGGGTGAAGTATATGAACAGACACTTTTACAAAAGAAGACATACATAAGGCCAATAAACATGAAAAAATGCTCATCACTTGTCATTAGAGAAATGCAAATCAAAACTACATTGAGATACCATCTCACACCAGTTAGAATGGTGATCATTAAAAAATCTGGAGACAACAGATGCTGGAGAGGATGTGGAGAAATTGGAATACTTTTATATCATTGGTTGGAGTGTAAATTAGTTCAACCATTGTGGAAGACAGTGTGGCAATTCCTCAAGGACCTAGAAATAGAAATTCCATTTGACCCAGCAATCCCATTACTGGGATTATAAATTGTTCTATTATAAGGACACATGCATATGAATGTTCATTGCAGCACTGTTTACAATAGCAAAGACTTGGAACCAACCCAAATGCCCATCGATGGTAGACTGGACAGGGAAAATGTGGCACATATACACCATGGAATACTATGCAGCCATAAAAAACGATGAGTTTGTGTCCTTTGTAGGGATATGGATGAACCTGGAAACCATCATTCTCAGCAAACTGACACAAAAACAGAAAACCAAACACCGCATGTTCTCACTTACAGGTGAGCATTGAACAACGAGAACACATGGATACAGGGAGGGGAGCATCACACACTGGGGTCTGCTGAGGGGAAAATAGGGGAGGGACAGTGGTGGGTGGGGAGTTGGGGAGAGATAGCTTGGGGAGAAATGCCAGATATAGGTGATGGGGAGGAAGGCAGCAAATCACACTGCCATGTGTGTACCTATGCAACAATCTTGCATATTCTTCATATGTACCCCAAAACCTAAAATGCAATAAAAAAAGAAAAAGAAAAAGAAATAAAAAGAACAAGGAACAATGCTTAAAGAGGTGTTAAGGCTGTCAGTTACTCAAGTCAAGCTACAGGAGATAGGGGATGAATCACAACCCTGCTTACACCTTGAAGATTCACTATGTCAGTGGCAACAAACTGTGCTTGCCTCTGCTCACATCATCTCCCTCCACCAACAGGCAAGTTAATTACGCAAATAAAGGCAGCAAGTTAATTACGCAAATAAAGGCAGTTGTGCAGTTGAAAGAACCTGGTTGCAGTAACTGGTAATCTTTTGCAGACCAGTAAAAATGGAGTTGAAGAAACAGCTGTAAGTTGGCACCATTTATGCAGATATAAGTTTCCTACTTACATCAAAAATAAGTAAATAAATGAAAGTAGAAAAAAAAGAAAGAAAGAAATAGTAAGCAAGACAAAGTCCCTGCCCTTGCAAATCTACATTCTAGAAGATGCAGGCAAATAAACGATTAAACACTTATGAATATTGCGTATCATATAGTGATGCCTACCATGGAGAATATAAAACATGATAAAATAGGGAATGTTGGGAGAGGAAATAATTATTTTAGTTAGGGTCATTAGGGGAAGTGTCTCTGAGGGGCTTTCATTTGAGCAGAAATCTGAATGATGAGAAGGGCACGGAGGGAAGAGAACAGCACTTCAGGAATAAAGAGAACTGAAAGTACAAAGATCCTAAGATGAGAACGCTGAATACCAACACTTGAGTTCTCATGGGAACAACCCATTCTAATCTCCACTCCACACTTTCTACAACTTTCAGAAGAGTGTCTCACTCACATTCAATAGTACTTGTTCAAGATAATTCACCATAATGGAAAGACAAGTTTAAAAAAAACAAACAAACCTGTTTTAGAAGAATCATCACTATTCAGGATTATCATGAATTTACTCTTCTTCAAGGCAGACAAATTAACAAAGTAGGTAAAAATCTTTGGGATTTTCAATAAGACAGAAAGAAAAAAAAAAGAACAAACGTGGAAATATGCGTTAGAAGTCTCTTCCAGGTGGATAATCTTACAATCTTACAAGCATAAAGATTATCAGGCAAATTCTGTAAATAGAATTATCTGTGTTCAATCAGCCTTCCAACCCTAAAGCTTGGTGCTTTACATTTATAGTGTGTATGATGCTAAAAGAATGGAACTACAGCCAATGTGCATAAAGCAGAGGGAAGTGGATTAGAGTTAAAAAGGAGCTGTCCAGCAATCAACAGCTTGAACACTACTGGAAGTGCTCAGACACCGTAAAACGATATCTTAAAGACGTTACAAGTGTAATTTACAGGAGAAAGTTACCAGTAGAACTTCATGACCTGTAGAGAATTGTTCTGGTTCCTCCTCCCACCCTTCAGCACCATGCCTTTACATTCATTCTGTAAAAGCCCCCCAGTTCAGCTAAGAGGATGAATTTTTAAACACCACATACATCATGCCAACAGCAAAGAATAAACAGATAAATACTGCTTCAATAAGGGGAACGTAATAATTTGTTTCAGTAACTAAAACTGGGGTTATTAAAATCTTCAAAATATATTTTTAAAGGCACAAGAAGAGCCTGAAGCAGTGGGCGCCCAGCACCAAGTTGAAAGAACATAGTGAATTAAGGTTTGCTGTACCAATTCCATTTGCCTTGATTTCGCACAAAGCGCGTCAGAAAGTACACGGTAACCCTAAAGAGGGAAACCCAGCTGGGAACCCTTGAACAGATGGTAACAAGATGAGTTAAGCCAGTGGGGGAAGAGAGAAGAGACTGCGCGTAAACAGGAGTATGCAAGGCCACCTAAAGAATGCCCAGACATGCATACATTCCTTGCTCTTCCTGCAGCAGAACCAGCTAGGCCGCCGCCCGCAGACAACCACGGAACCGTGGGGACTGGCCCTTCAAAGCCGTCTTGTCCGCCCTCTCCAGCCAGTTTGGTGGATATTTCGGTGAAGGCTGCAGACTCCCAGAGTCACCCCTCCCTCGAGCACCGTTCTCCGCATTCGTCGGCGCCAGGCAGCTCAGAGGGAGCTGGCCTGCTCTTACCTTCAGGTGTCGGTGGCGGCTCCTGCCGCTTCCCGCGGGACAGGAAGACCTTGGGGAGCAGCAGCGACAGAGCCAGGACGAGCCCAGAAGCCAGAGCGACTCTCTGCACTGTAGAGTACGCCATGACTGCTCACCGTGGCCGCAGGTGCAGACGCCAGCTGGAACCGGAACCGGAAGCGCAGCGCTCGCAGCCTCTCCCGACTCAATCGCGGGCGGCGCGGGCGGAGCGGACGGCGGCGCGCGAGGGACAAGGTGCGCGAGGTTCCCGCGCCCCCACCTCCACTGTCCGCCGCTGACGTGCTCCTCCCGCGTGGTTACTCGCCGCTGTAAATGGTACCCTCGCCTTCCCATTCATACTAACTAAAAACTCCCCCCTCCCTCTCTCCCTGTGTTCATCTGTTATTGAGTCCGGTGCATTCTACCGCCTATTATACATCAGGCCGACGTACCCGGATCTCCATCCCCATTTACCACCACTGCGCGCCACCCATCCGTAGACCACAACATCGAGTTCTTCCTCATTTCCATGAACTCACTGTCTTCCAGCTTCCACTCATGCCCCTCGCATTCATTCTCCATCTGCAGCCAGAGGTGGTAATGCTAAAACACAAGACTAATTTTCTCTCTCTACAGCTTAAAACCTTTTAACTCTCCATTATCTTCAGAACAACAGTCAAACTCCTGTGACCTCAACAGCCTGCATGATCTGGTCTTACCAATGCTCCTTCCAAACTGGATGATATGCTCTTTCTCTAGCATATTGCTTGTCTAAAGGGAAACTTTGCTCGTCCTGTTCCCACTGCCTGGAAAGTTCTTGACACCATCTCCACTTGTCAAAAACTTCTCTGAAGAACAGCTTAAAAACACTGTACCCTAAAACCTAAAACGCAATAATATATATATATATATATATATATATATATATATATATATGTAAACAAAACACTGCTGTCGCGAAACTTCTTCAGTCAGCCTCTCCTTCCTCTACAATCCCACCGGTCTTTGTTACTGTCTGCATTCGTTTGTTTAACATTTTAGAGTTTTTACTATGTTTTTACTATGAGTTTTTACTCAACTTGGCACTGCAGGGTCTCATGAATAAAATGGATTATCTTTGTAGGGCAAATAATTATCTTAAAAAAAAAATCAGGAAATATTCTGGCCCCTGGAGCAGTCTGCTCAACTGGTAGGAGGAAAAGTCAAGAAAAGCTCCTTTGAGAAGGTGAAATTTGAATTAGCTGTTGAAGAATGAGTAATTTACCAGGCAGACAGGTGGGATGGGTTAGAAAGGTATTCCAGGAAAAAGGAGGCCAAAAAAACGAAAGCAAAGGTGGAAGCTTCCTGGTGTGTTCAGAAGGGTATTGTTAATTCATTTCGGCGGGGGCAAAGAGTGGTGATAGGACACGAAGTGCACAAATACAGTGCACAGGAGATACATTGTAAAATGTATCTTAAGTAGAACTTCCAGTTAAACATGGCATGTGCAACATATGCATTTATCTTTACTTTCCTGAGACAGTGCCCAAAAATGAGAATAAAGAAATAAAGTGTATAAACTATAAGACTAAATAGAATGATAGAAAACGTGACAGCAGATGAGAAATGTCACTTTTGTAAGATTCACACGACACCATCCAATAGAAACATAATGCCAGCCACATATGTAATTTAAAATTTTTCAGTAGCCACATTTGAAAAGTAAAAATAGGTAAAATTTAATAATATTTTATTTAAACTAAGATATCAAAAACATCATTTCAAATTTTATCAGCACGATAGTGTGGCATGTTAGCTGCTACATTGGATAGCGCAGGTGTAGAGCATGAAAAGTTAGATGCCTTGGAAGGAAAGCCTGTAGGAAATAAACTAATTTGCCCCTCAGAACTTGTGCTCTTAAGAATTGGAGGTACTGGGCTTTTTTAAAGCCAAGGATGCAGAGTGGGGCTGAATGAAGGATTGGCTGGAAATCTGATTAAAAAAAAGCAGTTGAGACTGGATGCGGTGGCTCACACCTATAATCCCAGGGCTTTGGGAAGCCAAGGCCGGAGAATGGCTTCAGACCAGGAGTTCAAGGCCAGCCTGGGCAACATAGTGAGAGCCCTAATCTCTACTAAAATAATGTAACAATTTAAAAAAAAATGTAAAAAATTAGCCAGGCATGGTGGTGTGCACTCGTAGTCCCAACTACTCAGGAAGCTGAGGTGGGAAGATCACTTGAGCCCAAGAGTTTGAGGCTGCGTGAGCTATGATCATGTGAAACCACAATTAATTATGATATATAAAACAATAATACCTGAGGGAAGTCAGGAGGGGCACCCACTCCAACCTGGGTGACAGAGTGAGACCCTGTCTTTAACAAAAAAGTTGTTTAATTTTTTTTGAAGCAATGGGTATCTTCTAAATCTCTTTCCTCAATTCATGCAGCCAGATGGGTGCCCCTACTGGCTTCACTCGGGCATTATCATCATTGATGTTATTAAAATCACTAAAAGTTAGAGTACTGACTATGTTTTAGGCATCTTACATATCCTAATTAATCTTCCCAATAACTTCAAGAGGTAAGCAATATTATTATATACCTGTTTTACAGGTAAGAAAATGGATGTTCAGAAAACATAATTTACTTGCCAACAATTACACAGTAATAATGGAAGCTATGATTTGAACACAGGCATGCTTACTCAAGAACTTGCCCTCTTAGCTACCAGGTTGACTCTCTGGGGAGGTTTAGTCAGAAAAGCTCTGGACTCCTGGACAATAGGTGCAGCCTAGGGAGCAGGTGACTATGGGATGTGGTCTCTAAGAGGTACAGAGGAGTCTGGAATGACCCCCCGCCCCACAAATTCTAGCTTGAGTGACTGGGTAGACATTGATTCTATATAAAATGATTTTAAGAACAGAAGAATTAGGTTTGTGAGATAGATGGAGTTCAGATTTTGACTAGTTGGAGTTCCATGAAATATCCAAGTAGAAATACCCAGTTGGATATATGGATCTGGAGCTTAGAAGAGATGTTTGGTGGAAGTCATCAGCCCATCTATAATAAATGAAGCCAGGGAGAAGATGACATTAGTGAGAGTGTTCATGTAAAGTAATAAGAAGCCACAATGGAAACCTAGGTGACAACATTATGTTGAAGTTCCCATGTATAAGGACAGAAATGATGTGGGAAATAGTGATCCAAGTGCTAAAATATTTAATGAATGTGGAGTTACTACAAGGCTGGAAGGCGACAGGAACAGAGGAAGTAATGAGCAGCCAGACAACATGCTCTTCTGCGGAGCTGTGGTTTTTAAAGGAAGAAGGGGAAGAAGCAATTTGGAAGCAGCAAGGGGGAACAAGTTGGGAATCTATTCTATTCCCAGGCTTTGAGCTGTGGGATGAAAAATAGCTCTTAGGGAGAACTGCAAGGGAAACAGAGCCCAGAGGCAACATCCTAGTTTCCATTAGAAGAAAGTTAAGAAAAACTTCAAAGAAGTCAAAGATATAGGATATTTTTCTGATGATACATCTGGATTCTATATGGCACAGTTCAAGTGGAAGGTTTGGAAGTTAGAGATGGGTAAGAGATGGAGTCAGAGTAAAATATGAAGTGAGCAGGATGGAGATTAGTGGCCATGTGCAAATGGATGACCTGGAGGGCTTGGACTTTAGATGGTGGCCAAGATAAATGGGCAGAGGTCATGATCTCATTAGTCCTGGAAGTGGCCTCGAGAAAGGTGAAAATACAAAGTTATAGTCCAGAGTATTTGGCTTGGAACATATTCATTGTTGCAGTCAGATGAGGTGTGGGCCTAGAAGACATGGGAGCCTCCTCAAAGCAGCAGAGCTGTTAGGCAGCTCATGGAGCTGGGACAGCTTGGAGTGGGACCTGGAATGGCTGCTCTCTCTGGTGGCTGGTGGTATAACATCAGAGCCAGAAGTGCACTAAAATTGAAGAACTTAAGGGTTTAGGTTTTCCAATGAAGTATTGCTAGGGAGCTGAGCACAGTGGCTTGTGCCTGTAATTCTAGCACTTTGGGAGGCCTGGGCAGGCAGATCATCTGAGGTCAGGAGTTCAAGACCTGCTGGCCAACATGGTGAAACCCCGTCTCTACTAAAAATACAAAAATGAGCCAGGCGTGATGGCGCAGGCCTGTAATCCTAGGTACTCAGGAGGCTGAGGCAGGAGAATGGCTTGAACCCAGGAGGCAGAGGTTGCAATGAGCTGAGATGGCACCACTGCACTCCAACCTTGGCAACAGAGCAAGACTGTGTCTCAAAAAGAAAAAAAAAAAGGTAATGGTAGGGAATTCAGATCAGAAGTCTAATGGCTATAGGCTGAAGAAGGAGCAAATGACAAGGAAGTAGAGATACCAGATACAGCCCACTCTATAAGGAGCTGTCAAGAAAAGAAGGGATAAAAGTTACAGTGATAACCTGAGGGTGCCTTTTCTAAGGGAAGAGAAAAGCATGTTTATACATTTAGAAGAAAAATGTCAGAAAAGAGGAGATGGAAAATGTAGAAGCAAAGGAGATCAATGTTGGAGCAAAGCCCAGATTGTGGAGCAGACATAGGGGCCAACACTGAGCCTCGTGACAGTAGGGATCAGCTTAAAGGAAAGGAGATGGAGTGGATTCAGGTGCCTATATTAATAAAAGGAGTGGTATAGGGACAGAAAGTCAAGTGGTTTCATTTCTCATTGCTTCCGTTTTCTTGGTAAATGATGTGTTTGGGCCATTATCTGAGAAACGACTCAGGGTGGGGTGGGAAAGGACTTTTCGAGTGTGCTGAAGGTTTGGAAATGGGCAAAGAGGTATTCAGGGATCACTCCAGCTTTGCATATGGGCTCCCTTTGGTGCTTAAATGCAACCAGGGATTTTCTGTTCCCTCCCTGGGGCCTTAACAGTATCTTCTAAACAGTATATTCTGGGCTGGACTTGGCATTCCCAAAGCATCCTTTGAGACTGGTAGCCTTCAAGGGACCCATTCCAGAAGACTGAAGGTGGTCAGCGGAGGGGAGACTGAGAGGCCCTTAGGGATCAGTTTTCAGTTGTGTCAATTGTCTTTTCATTAGACTAAAGGGAAAACTGGGCTCTACAAGGGGCAAAGATTTGCTGTCAATCGCCCTGATCATTCATGGCTCCACCAGGATTGAAACCCAGTTCTCCCAGCTCCCAGAGGAGGATTCTCTATACCACCTCCGCTGTGTATGCCAATTCTTTTGGACAGCAAAGAGGAAATAGTCTTCAAAAACAACAGCTAAACCCTTCATTTGCTGAACTTAAGAAATCTGTTTATTCCTTGTGTCCTTTTCCGACAGCCTTTGGGAAAGTGCCCCAGAATGTTGATCATTATGAGTTGGAAGGCTTTGTTCATGAAATCACCCATAAAGTCAAAATGTCTTTAACATCAGGGCACTTACTGAATTATAACATGGGGGTAGGGAAGTTGAGGAAACTATATTCCTTTTTTTTTTTTTTTTGAGAAGGAGTCTCGCTCTGTTGCCAGGCTGGAGTGCAGTGGCATGATCAGCTCACTACAACCTCCAACTCCCTGGTTCAAGCGGTTTTCCTGCCTCAGCCTCCAAGTAGCTGGGATTACAGGCACGTGCCACCACACCCAACTAATTTTTGTCTTTTTAGTAGAGACAGGGTTTCACAATGTTGGCCAGGATGGTCTTGATCTCCTGACCTCATGATCTGCCCACTTCAGCCTCCCAAAGAAGTGCTGGGAATACAGGTGTGAGCCACCGTGCCAAGCCAGGAAACTATATTTCTAGGGCATTTACTTATAAGTCATTATGGAAAAACTTCTCCTGGGATTAAGTTGACAGCTATTTCTTTATTTCCTAAATATGAGGTCTCCCTGGAAGACAGGCCCATGAGGAACTGAAGAAAGAAGTGGGAGGCCAGAGGAGAACTCACACAGGGTATTTGGAGGACGAAGAATTCAGACTGGAAAATAAAAATAACGTGGGAGAGAAGCTGGGGAGGGGTGGGAAGAAAATAGAAGAAAGAGGAAGAAGTCCAAGAAAGAAGAAAATGGACATGAAGTAGTTGCTTTCTTATAAACTCCCTGCCCATGGTCTCCTAAGTCTTATCCAGTGTGCTTTCCCCTCCAGACCAGGCTGGAATCTGAGCTTGGGATCCTCTCCCACTCAAAAGACTTCCATGACTCCCTTTGGCTGCCATACTTAGTCTCAGCTCATTGGCTACCCTTTCAAGGACCTTCATCCTTCAAGTATAATTCATCCTCTTGCTCCAAATCATCCGCTCCTCTCTGGGCCAGCATGAACTCTGTGTATTTGTCTCTTAAGATGCTCCTTTACCCACATTTCTTCCCTCCTCCCCTTTCATAGCCAATCTTCCCTAAAATATAAGGCCCAAACACTATGGACTTCTTCCAGGAGATTCTCCCAGATTCCACCCCATGCTGACTCTACCTTTCACTAGATTCCTGTGGACACTGTTTCTCATGGGTTTATTGGGCCTTTTCACTAGTTGGGAGTCACAGGAGGATAGGGTGCTTCTCCCATGGCATGGCTGAGCATAGAACTCATTCACAGCAGGTATTTATTCAAATATGAGGCTGCTAGTTTCTCACACATTGATTCTGCCACTGCTCCAAGCAACTAGACCTCTCTCCAGGAATCAGCAATCCATTTCCTTGAAGAGTCACCCCAGAGAGTCTCATTTCAAAAACTCACTGAATTTGCCACCAAATTTGTCCCTGAAGTGACTAATGATTAATTGTGTCAGTTTGGCTCGGTGATGGTGCCTAGATATGTGATCATACTTAATTTTGGATGTTTCTGTGAGGGTGTTTTGGATGGCATGAACATTTGAATCAGCAGACACTGAGTAAAGCAGATTGTCCTCCATAATATGAGTGGACCTTATCCAATCATTTGAAGGCCTGAATAGAACAAAAGACCCACTTCCCCCCAGCAAGAAGGAATTCTGCAGCCAACTGAACTCTGGATTTGAATTGCAGCATCTGCCCTTCCTGGGTCTCCAGCCTGTTGGCCCACCTTGCAGGGTTTGGACTTGCCAGTTTCTAAAATAACATAAGCCAATTCCCTAAAATAAACCTCTCTCTCTCTCTGGCTTTGCCACCTCAGAGGAGATTCCAAGGATATACCTTAAGCTCTGAAAGTAATTTTAAAGAAGAGTCCAGGCCAGGCGCCGTGGCTTATGCCTGTAATCCCAGCACTTTGGGAGGCCAAGCCAGGCAGATCACGAGGTCAGGAGTCAAGACCAGCCTGGCCAACATGGTGAAACCCTGTCTCTACTAAAAATACAAAAATTAGCCGGGCATGGTGGTACGCACCTGTAATCCCAGCTACTCAGGAGGCTGAGGCAGGAGAATCGCTTGAACCTGGGAGGTGGAGGTTGCAGTGAGCCAAGATTCCCATTGCACTTCAGCCTGGGTGAGAGAGCTAGACTCTGTCTCAAAAAATAAAAATAAAATAAAAAAGAGTCCACTGTGGTGTCCTCATTGTGGAGAGTCATACACCTTACTACAGCCAGAAAATCAAGGTGGTTAGCAGGAAGATGAGACCCAGATGCCCAGAACACTGAGCAGAGGAGAGCAAGGCCTATAACTCTGAAGTTTAGAATGAAGAGATTAGAGAAGGAAGGCAAGAGATGGGACAGGATGCAGGGAGGAGGGTATATGGGACCTGGACTTTGAAAGATGGGTAGAATTTTGATCAGGGGTAAGGGAAATGTGATGAACACCTGCCAATTGTGGACGTCCACAATCTTTGAATACCCTTTCCTTGTTTGATGTTACCCACATTGAGAGTCTCACGTTCTCTGTGTAGAATCCAACAACCTACATTTCCCGGCCTCTCTTGCTACTAGGCAAATAGTTAACTGTTTCCCCGATCAGACGTACCTGTGTCCAACTTTGATTTGAAAGTCATCCGTGAGAGGAAACAGCGGTGTTTGTTTGGCCTTGCCTTTTTTGGTGGGTGAGGTAGCAGCATAGGTGGGATGCTCCTACGGCTGGCACAGCCACAGCGCAGTTTCCTGACAGGCAGAGCGGAGGCCATGCTGGTCTGGGATCTGTGGCACTGGAGCTTCCTTAGGAGGCCAGTTCTGTGGTGTGGCTCTGGGAGTTATTCCAAGCTCTGGGGCCCCAGTTTTCTCATGTGTGAAATGGAAACTGTGCTGCCTCCTTCCCGCTGAGCTAGCAAACGTGATAGAGCCTGGACAGCAATCGTGCATGAGACACAGCAGCAGCTGCGGCCGCTCACAGGCAGAGCTGAAGAAAGAAAATTGGAGTCAGAAAAGGGAAGAGTTCTTGAGGAAAACCTTTGGGAGGAAGCCTCTAGAAGGCCCATATTTCTTATCCTAAAGCTCTACGCAATTGGGGACAGATGGGTGAAGTTTAGGGTTATGAAGATAGAAGTTTCTTGGTGGTGAGTGGTCAAGGTGAGAATGTCCTTACTGCTTTCCTACCAGCTCTCCTCACTGGCCTCTGCCCCCGGAGCACGCAGAACAGAGAGAAGTCACAGCTGGATACCTTGGGCCTTTCTGCCTTGAATAAGGAGAAATAGTCTTTGGTGCCAATTAATTAAGCAAACTGATAGAAATTCCCCGCTTAAGTCACACTTTGCATATCCATAATCTCTGCACTACATTTTCTGTATACTTTACCCCTGGGTAAAAATTGGTGAGCATTTAAATGCTTCCTCACATAACCTTCCTAAAGCACACTCTTGCCTATAAATATTCATGCCACTGCCAAAACATTTATAAGCTTTCCCCAAAGGTGAAATGTGTGTAGTGTACTTTGTCTTCTGGGTATAAATATTATCCAATACATTTTGGTTACTATGAATAAACTAATTATTCCTGTAACCCTTTTAAAAAGGGTCATCTTCATGATGTGAATTTTTTAAAAAGTGTAATTACAATAATTGGATACTTAATCTAATTAAAATTTGCTTTATCTTTAATGGGAATTTGTCTAAAGAGGCAGAATGACAATTGGCTTTTTGATAATGACTGTTTTCTTTCTGCAGGGGATCAAGTTGGTGAAAACTGGAGAACCAGTCAGGTCTGTGTCTGCCAGTTCCCTGGTTACTGGGCAGAGCAAGTCCAGTCTCTGTTCTTCTTATGATCCACTACTTAAGTAGCAAATATGGGTTGTGGTTACTGGAAAAGGACTAGGGAAACTTTTTGTATTCCAGTAGATGAAGCTGCCCCTCTTTCTAGGAAGCAGTCTTTTGTTCCCCTGGACCCGTGATTGATCCACAGCAGGCATGTGATCTAAGCCTGATAGATCAGGTCCCTTGCTGGGCTTGCTGTAGCTGGAGGAGAAGCAGCTCCATGCTGCTTTGGGGGCCATGGGGCTAGAAGGAGTTGTAACGGATGGTATAGGTGCTCCACCCATATCCACTGGTTTACCCTTGAGGTTGCCTGCAGACAGTCCCTGCACACAAACTCAGCCCCTGTGTCTCTCTGAATAAAGCTGTCCTCTGGCCTGAGGAGCAAGCTAGGCCTTCTGGAGAGTTACGACTCCCAGAGCAACTCTCAAAACATGAAGGAGGAGAGTTGGCAGATAAACACCTCAGCTTCCTTGCTCTTCAGGGGCTCAGTTCTGAGCGACGCTCCACACATTCTTTTTTAGGCATCCCAGTAGGATTGAGATCTACTTGCTCCAGCTGTAACCTACTCACTGAAACACCCGTTTGGGGTTTCCTCCCCTTCGTCTCACTTCCCTTCTCCCTCATTTTACTTCTTGGCGTCACCTTCCAAATAAAGGGGTACACCAAACTTTTGCCTTGGAGTCTGTTTGGACGGGAGCCCAAACCAAGAGGTCAAGTTGGGGTTTCCAGGAACTATTTTCTCAACCACATGGAATAGGCCTGTTTGAAGAAGGTGAGAGAGAAGCTAGCAGACATAAGTGGGGTGGAAAGTGAGCTTGGTAGTGCCGAATGGTTTCACCCCCAAGACTCTTTTTGCTCCCTCTCGGTCTTTGATTTCAAAGCTGCCCTGAACAATTCCCAGGCATGTGAACCAATACATTTCTTCCTGTATGTGTTAAGCTTGCTTGAATTGGATTTCTGTCCTTGCAACTGAAAGTATTAATGACTCTTACAAAGAATAAGTGAGTCTACATGCAAAGCATTTTGAATAGAGCCTGTCAGCTTATTACCTTCCTCAATTGCCTGTCCCTCCCCTCTGGAGTAGAGGCTACATTAGAGGAGGGAGTTTTGTCGACTTGCTCACTTCTGCATCCCCAGTGCCCAGAGCAGTGCCGGTGACATGGTAGACTTAAGTAAATATTTATTGGGTGCATGAATAAAGATAACAGTGTCTGGATTATACAAAGTGCTTTGAGTAACCTCACTAACTGAATGTAAGCTTCTAAGTATGTTATATAACAACTGAAAACCATAACTGGGTAAATAAAGTGAGAACAGGTTTGTATTGAATGATTGATCATTCACAGTCTCAAGTTTGGCTTAGATGGTTTCATCAAGATATAGCTGGGTGGTTTTAAAATGGTGTTTTGCAGAAGCCTAGATGCTATAGGGTTTCTTTCAATGCTTGTTCTTAATTTTGTTTTTAAATATATTTTAAAACATTTTTGAGAGTAAAATGCATGCTTGAATGTATTGTATATTAAATTTAATATATTGGCAATTCCTGATGCACTATTACTGTCAGGTTAACTTAAAAAAAAAAAAAAGGTCGAGTGTGGTGGCTAACACTTGTAATCCCAGCACTTTGGGAGGCCAAGCCAGGTGGATAATGAAGTCAGAAGATCAAGACCATCCTGGCCAACATGGTGAAACCCTGTCTCTACTAAAAATACAAAAATTAGCTGGACATGGTGGTGTGTACCTGTAGTCCCACCTACTTGGGAGGCTGAGGCAGGAGAATCCCTTGAACCCAGGAGTTGGAGGTTTCCGTGAGCCGAGATTGTGCCACTGCACTCCAGCCTGGTGACAGAGCAAGACTCTGGCTCAAAAAAAAAAAAAAAAAAAAAAAAAAAAAAAGATGTTGGGAATAAAGATCACTCTGCCATTTCTATGAATGTATTTGGAGTTCTTCTAAGTATGTC